ATGAGGTGATTTGGTAAAATGCTATGCCCAAGATAACTATCCGAGTGCCGGCGGTGGGGTGGTTCAAATAGCCTCGGCTATCACCTCATTATGTCCGGTCGTGATGGTCAAGTGGATTAAGGCGTCTTGTACATACCAGATGCGTTGCTTCTGGGAGTATGGGTTCGAGTCACTTCTGGGGTGTGAGTTTTCAGTTGCATATGTCCTGGGGACCATTCAGGCTTGTTCGCATTTGTGTTCCTCACGTGTTGCCCCAAAGAATGAGGTGATTTGGTAAAATGCTATGCCCAAGATAACTATCCGAGTGCCGGCGGTGGGGTGGTTCAAATAGCCTCGGCTATCACCTCATTATGTCCGGTCGTGATGGTCAAGTGGATTAAGGCGTCTTGTACATACCAGATGCGTTGCTTCTGGGAGTATGGGTTCGAGTCACTTCTGGGGTGTGAGTTTTCAGTTGCATATGTCCTGGGGACCATTCAGGCTTGTTCGCATTTGTGTTCCTCACGTGTTGCCCCAAAGAATGAGGTGATTTGGTAAAATGCTATGCCCAAGATAACTATCCGAGTGCCGGCGGTGGGGTGGTTCAAATAGCCTCGGCTATCACCTCATTATGTCCGGTCGTGATGGTCAAGTGGATTAAGGCGTCTTGTACATACCAGATGCGTTGCTTCTGGGAGTATGGGTTCGAGTCACTTCTGGGGTGTGAGTTTTCAGTTGCATATGTCCTGGGGACCATTCAGGCTTGTTCGCATTTGTGTTCCTCACGTGTTGCTCCAAAGAATGAGGTGATTTGGTAAAATGCTATGCCCAAGATAACTATCCGAGTGCCGGCGGTGGGGTGGTTCAAATAGCCTCGGCTATCACCTCATTATGTCCGGTCGTGATGGTCAAGTGGATTAAGGCGTCTTGTACATACCAGATGCGTTGCTTCTGGGAGTATGGGTTCGAGTCACTTCTGGGGTGTGAGTTTTCAGTTGCATATGTCCTGGGGACCATTCAGGCTTGTTCGCATTTGTGTTCCTCACGTGTTGCCCCAAAGAATGAGGTGATTTGGTAAAATGCTATGCCCAAGATAACTATCCGAGTGCCGGCGGTGGGGTGGTTCAAATAGCCTCGGCTATCACCTCATTATGTCCGGTCGTGATGGTCAAGTGGATTAAGGCGTCTTGTACATACCAGATGCGTTGCTTCTGGGAGTATGGGTTCGAGTCACTTCTGGGGTGTGAGTTTTCAGTTGCATATGTCCTGGGGACCATTCAGGCTTGTTCGCATTTGTGTTCCTCACGTGTTGCCCCAAAGAATGAGGTGATTTGGTAAAATGCTATGCCCAAGATAACTATCCGAGTGCCGGCGGTGGGGTGGTTCAAATAGCCTCGGCTATCACCTCATTATGTCCGGTCGTGATGGTCAAGTGGATTAAGGCGTCTTGTACATACCAGATGCGTTGCTTCTGGGAGTATGGGTTCGAGTCACTTCTGGGGTGTGAGTTTTCAGTTGCATATGTCCTGGGGACCATTCAGGCTTGTTCGCATTTGTGTTCCTCACGTGTTGCCCCAAAGAATGAGGTGATTTGGTAAAATGCTATGCCCAAGATAACTATCCGAGTGCCGGCGGTGGGGTGGTTCAAATAGCCTCGGCTATCACCTCATTATGTCCGGTCGTGATGGTCAAGTGGATTAAGGCGTCTTGTACATACCAGATGCGTTGCTTCTGGGAGTATGGGTTCGAGTCACTTCTGGGGTGTGAGTTTTCAGTTGCATATGTCCTGGGGACCATTCAGGCTTGTTCGCATTTGTGTTCCTCACGTGTTGCCCCAAAGAATGAGGTGATTTGGTAAAATGCTATGCCCAAGATAACTATCCGAGTGCCGGCGGTGGGGTGGTTCAAATAGCCTCGGCTATCACCTCATTATGTCCGGTCGTGATGGTCAAGTGGATTAAGGCGTCTTGTACATACCAGATGCGTTGCTTCTGGGAGTATGGGTTCGAGTCACTTCTGGGGTGTGAGTTTTCAGTTGCATATGTCCTGGGGACCATTCAGGCTTGTTCGCATTTGTGTTCCTCACGTGTTGCCCCAAAGAATGAGGTGATTTGGTAAAATGCTATGCCCAAGATAACTATCCGAGTGCCGGCGGTGGGGTGGTTCAAATAGCCTCGGCTATCACCTCATTATGTCCGGTCGTGATGGTCAAGTGGATTAAGGCGTCTTGTACATACCAGATGCGTTGCTTCTGGGAGTATGGGTTCGAGTCACTTCTGGGGTGTGAGTTTTCAGTTGCATATGTCCTGGGGACCATTCAGGCTTGTTCGCATTTGTGTTCCTCACGTGTTGCCCCAAAGAATGAGGTGATTTGGTAAAATGCTATGCCCAAGATAACTATCCGAGTGCCGGCGGTGGGGTGGTTCAAATAGCCTCGGCTATCACCTCATTATGTCCGGTCGTGATGGTCAAGTGGATTAAGGCGTCTTGTACATACCAGATGCGTTGCTTCTGGGAGTATGGGTTCGAGTCACTTCTGGGGTGTGAGTTTTCAGTTGCATATGTCCTGGGGACCATTCAGGCTTGTTCGCATTTGTGTTCCTCACGTGTTGCCCCAAAGAATGAGGTGATTTGGTAAAATGCTATGCCCAAGATAACAATCCGAGTGCCGGCGGGGGTGGTTCAAATAGCCTCGGCTATCACCTCATTATGTCCGGTCGTGATGGTCAAGTGGATTAAGGCGTCTTGTACATACCAGATGCGTTGCTTCTGGGAGTATGGGTTCGAGTCACTTCTGGGGTGTGAGTTTTCAGTTGCATATGTCCTGGGGACCATTCAGGCTTGTTCGCATATATATATATATATATATATATATATATATATATATATATATATATATATATATATATATATATATATATATATATATGTAAGTTTATGTCTAAACCGTCGAAGAAAACGAAGAAACGACACTTTCTGGTCAGCATAGAAAACATATAGCGTAGACTAAAACAATTTTATTTACAGCCTTGAGTTCAAAGTTTTGTGTTACACTCCTACGCTTCTGAAAGCGTCCATGAATTCTTGTTATTACAACTATTATTATTCCTTTCGTTAAGAAAGTTTCGGCAGTTTTAGTTAGTCAGTTTAACTAATTTAATGAAAAAAATCAGGGGGGGGAGTTCAGTATTTGAACCCCTAAAAAGTGTCTTTGTAACCAGTCGACCACCTCTCACAGGAGGGATCTGGGCTGCATAATTAATAAACTAAACTAAATTAATAACAATTTTTCGTTATCTAAATAAGATCTTCAGATTGCGAAGTACACCATGTATTGTGTGGTAGGATATCTTTGTAGTAGGTCCTCTATTTCATCATTAAAACGACTAGCATAAATCTATTGACAATTGCTTCATAATTTCAGTGTTTTATATAAAGAGAGATGATATTAGAACCGAGAACTATATGTTCTTGGAACCGAGAACCGAGCACAAAACATCCACTGAATAATGTGACGTTGTTATTGCTAGAACTTAGGCTGGGATATCTATAGCTAGCACTGATGGCTGTAGATAATGAATCCCCCAATAATGAACACTCCAGTTGTTAACTATGTGAACAAGAGCTGAGACTCACACTCCAACACTACATTGGTGAGTGCTCCAGTTCAAGTTCAAGTATGTTTATTGAGACAAGAAAGAAATATATCTCAAAGGGATAGAGTAGCTTAGGCTATTTCTACGCCTGCTATTGCTTCAGGAGATAATTCGGAGTGGAGAGAGAGAGAGAGACGGAGTAGATATCCATATATCTACCCATATATATTCCATATATATTCCATTTCTTCTCTTAGGCTATTTGTGAGTGCCCCTGTTATCAATACTTCACCGGGTATAGGTGTCATGAATACAAATGAGCATTGGATCCTGATGTTATAAACCTAATCTTAATTGACCTTAAACCTATACATACCTTAAATAATCCTAACACACACCAAATGGTATGAGATACTTTGAGCTCTGTAACTACTTCAGACACTCACGAATAATGACAAATGTTCTTGTGCTCTACCCAGAGTTTGCTAGTGTAGACTAGTAGACTAGATCTTCATCTCATGTTTTCTCCTGATTCCATGCACGACATGCCATCCTGTGAGATGAGGATACTACATGAAATCATAGCTTATGATCTATATTCTGTAATCCTTAATAATATAGAATGATGTAGCAACAGACTGCAGTGTGTACCTAAGCTTGTTAATAAAATACCAGTGTGTTTTAAAATTGGGGGAATGTTTCTGTTATCTGAAGTGGTCTATTATGATGATCCCTATATCAGCATTCCACTGTGATGATTCCTTCATCACTACACCACTATACTGCTCCTTACATCAGCAGGTAAATGTGATGATCCCTACATCAGCAGACTGCTGTGATAACCCCTACATCAACAGGTTACTGCTAGGATGACCCTTACTGTTAGGATTGAAGACTGATTAATGAAGATCAAGCTACCCAAGAGGTGGCACGGGCATGAATAGCCCGTAAGTGGTAAAGGATTTTTTGTTTTGTTCTATTAAGTATTCCTTAGGTGCATAATGATACGAGCAGATGTTCTTTTATTTTATAACTATTGCAAATACTAGATTCACGGCACCGATACCGGTGTGACTTCAATGTCTGTTTGGAAAATATAACGCCATGCTGTACATACCTGTGTTTCCCCTCCATGTCCAACATAACAGATACATCAACGGGCTGCTGCTACGATCCCTACAATAGCATGTGATGATGATGATATCTATATCAATAGGTCACACACTCATACTCCCCCTACCTAGTATGTCACAGTGGCTCGACCGCCCGACGGGTGATAGAGTGCCACTCGAGGCAGGTAACAGAGTGCTACTCTAGACGGGTGAGAGAATGCGACTCGACCTTATCTGACGCTCGAGGTCAGAGGTCATACGAGATAGCGGCCACATATGGACAAGGAGCTCTCTTATCCCGCCTAGCACCAGGCGGCCAGTAAACAAAGCGATATAAGGGTATCTACTCCGTCTCCCTCCACTCCGAGTCATCTCCTGAAGCATGACGGACGCACCAGCAGAAGGCGGAGGCCTGCGCCTGGAGGTGATACCCAGGGTGTGTGTTCATGACGTGCCCACCACCATCCGTGTCTCAGGGCTGCCGCCAGGGGCGCCCGTCACCCTCAGGGCTGACACACACGACGACGATGGCAGGAAGGTCAGGCTTTATTCTTACTGAATTTTTAGCAAAGGTGAAGCTTTACCCCCGTAATAACTCAGTCTACATATTCAATTTATATACTGCAAATGCTAATATTTATTCAATATAAAATAAAACAGTGCAAATTTAAATTAATAAGATAAAAATTATTTGTTTATTATTTCATTCTGAAATGCTCTGCTGAAGGTGAATTGAGCCGAAAACGCGTTTAGCATTCTCTATTTTTCACATGTGGTTTTTCCGCACACACACATATATATATATATATATATATATATATATATATATATATATATATATATATATATATATATATATATATATATATATATATATATATATATATATATATAAGGGGTACCATCTCTGGTGCAAGTGTAGAGACCCATAGCCTTGGAGAACAAAAATAATGAGTACTCAGAGAAGACCTTGGGGATCTTCACTGAACACTTTGATATTTTCTTCTCCTACCACCCCTATTTGTTTAGTGTATGTGTATATATATCTAACTTTATTTTAAAATTCCATTACACAAAAATGGTTACAACATTGGTTACATGTAGGGTACAAGGCTTCTAGTCACAAGTTGTAGAGCTCCTCCAGTTTCTCAGATGACGGGCAGGAACCATGGATGCGGTGAGCATTTCCTCTCTGGATCGCCACACTAAGACACTGAAAGAGAAAACTGGCGGCTCTAGGGTCTCTAGTTGTTTCAATTAGCTTGGAACCCAGTTCCTTCAAAAAACTAGCAGCACTTTTACCCCATACACCAAGTGTCTCTGAAGCAATGGGGACAAAATTGCAGTGGTGATCAAGGTCTCTGTATTTACGCGACTTGGCTGCTTCCCGGTGGTTGGCAGCACCTCCTGCCTGTACAGCACTGAAGTTAACATAGGTGTTGGCTAAAGTTGAAACGCAAGTATAGTCCCACACCAACAGTCTACCATTCTTCCAGGGGTTCACTGTGATCCCGTCTGGGCGACCGACAGGCTCATCCGAGTTGCGGGGCATTAGGTAACTGGGCTCTCTCTCTGCTGGACAACCGGCCGTGGTAAGGCTTCTCTTGATAATGTCGTTAACCTCGCCGTGTCTTGCACGCCATCCTCCTGTCCTTTGGCAGAGAAGGCTATGCCGTCCGTGCCTGTCGGCCACTGCCGCCGCAAATACACCTGTATTCGGTGTGGATTGGGGCAGCGAGGCGGAGAGTCACAGCAATTCGGAGGGCCTGCGGTGTGAGACGAGTGCCAGTTGCTGACATTGGGTTTGCTAATAGAAAGTCCCCTGCATGGGGAGCTGCTTCAGCTCTAAGTCGGGCAGTATCATGTGGTGTTGTCGCAGCTTCTTGGCGGCAATGGGGCTATATATATATATATATATATATATATATATATATATATATATATATATATATATATATATATATATATAGCCCCATTCAGCCGTCCCTTCTTAACATTCACAACATCATTAAACTGTTGTTCTAAAGTGCCTAAACCTGACCAACCAGAGGATCCAAAACAGAAAACGTAACATTATGTCAATTTCGCGAACCACTATCATTTTTTTTTTTTTTGTAGCATCAGTTTCTGACCTTTGGTAAAGTATACGTCTTAGAGAAAGTTATGAAAACACTTTGTAGTGAAAATGTGGGCCTCCGTCACCTGAACATTGCCGTGTGCCCCGCTTTAATAAGTTAAAAAAAAAAGTCATGTGTCTCTCACACAACATAAGGAAAATGATAAGTAAAACCTTGGAGATACATGGAGAAAGTGATATGATGTATCAGATAAGATATGGAGATAAAACAATTATCTGGACAATTCTGTGTTTCACGATTGACTGCTGAAGCGGACACTAACCCGTCCTCTTATAAATTACGTCGCTTTTCGCTCGTATGCACACTCAGGCTAAAAACCGACGTAATTCAAAATGAAATCGGCTCACGAGAGTGACGTACTGTCCCGTTTTCTGTTTTGAGTTCTCTGGCTTAGGCTGTTTGATTAGGAAATGAAACTTTCAATTAACGGTTTTCATGACATTTTGAAACCTTAGGAAAATGTCCTGCCCTCCTAACCTATCAGAGGACCCTAAACTTGCTTTATTTGGAAAACAAAATCCAAAATTTATTGGGAAAATTTATTTCCATTTCGAATTACGTCAATATTTGGCCGGAAAGGTGAAGATAAGAACCAACACAAACCTGGAAAGAAAACGCACACCACACTAGAAAAGAAGGAAAATGATAACAGAAATGCTTAAGCAGATAACATTAACCCAACAAAGCAAATGGGATTCAAACAGTAAGATTGAAGAAAACAGAGTAAAAGCTAAAGCAATCATAGCAGACCTGAAGAAATGAAACTGGAACATTTTCAAAAATCAAAATCAGTTCCAATTTTTGCATGTTCCAACAAAGGACAATCCTGCCAATGGCCTGTCAAGAGGAGTGACGTTGAAACAATTTATGCAAGTCAACTTGTAGTATCATCGTCCTTGGAGGTTAATTAGTGGTCGGTGGCAAGATTAGAATCACCCCCCCCCCCCTCAAGGTCTTATGACACAGTTCACGGCTCCCATCGAGGAGCCAGATAAGACCAAGAGCATAGAATGTACTCACTTCTCTCTTCACGAGGAAAATGTCCTTAAATTTACCAAACTCATATTTCTCATTTTCTTTTACTTGGGCTGGACGGTAGAGCGACGGTCTCGCTTCATGCAGGTCGGCGTTCAATCCCCGACCGTCCAAGTGGTTGGGCACCATTCCTTTTCCCCACCGTCCCATCCCAAATCCTTATCCTGTCCCCTTCCCAGTGCTATATAGTAGTGATGGCTTGGCGCTTTCCCTTGATAATTTCCTCTGTCCTTCCCATCCTAGCTCTTTGTCTTCATGTCTCTTTCAAGTGCTACTTAGTCGTACTGGCTTAGAGCTTTCTCCCTGATTATTACCTTGCCTGCCTCCCGCAACAGTTCAGGTCGAACGCTCACTACAGGAGCGACGCCAGAGGGTGTGTGGACGTGGCTCGCAGCGAGGCGCTGGGCGGGTCCTTCACCGGCGTGTTCCCGGCGGGGCTCTTCACCACCCTGCGGGGTCGAGGCTCCGACCTCCACACTAGACTCTTTAAGAGTGACTGTACTACTCCGTGGAAGGTACGGGCTGCTGTAATGTATTATTCCTGAATTCCATAAATGTACGTAATGCTGTAATGTCTTATTTCTTAACCACATGAAGGTTCGTGAAGCTGTAATATCCTATTCGTGTTGCCCCCCCCCCCTCCCCCGGTGAATTACCAAGCGTTATACATTGTTATTCTTGAATCTTGAGTGTATATAACATTCATTTGAGCACATTCTCGTAATAGGTAATAACATGCTGTGGTATCCGTTGTTTGTGAGCAGGTGACGGTGACCGCATACAAGGGTCACCTGGACCTGGAGGAGGAAGGTGACGGAGGTGTGCGCCAGGTACTTGAGCGGCATCTCATGGGCCCTGGAGTCCGCCGCCTGCCTGTCCGCCACGGCAGGGTCCGCGGGGCCCTCTACCTGCCCTCGGGGCCCGGCCCTTTTCCTGGGATAGTCGACTTCTTTGGAGGGATTGGTGGCCTTCGAGAGTACAGAGCAGGTTGGGACTCAATGATGTTTCGTAATTATTACTTCCAGAAAATACAGTTAAGTATATGTGGGTATTTGGCTCTAAAGGACGGGTTTTGCCCATGTTTACACAATGGAGGGATTTCCTGTTATACACAGAGCTTCGAGAAGAAAATCCTAGTATGTTTTATACATTACGTACAGGCAGGCAGATGTACATATATAACATTAATGCCACATGGTGTATAGAATCCACGCAAGGTCATATAGAAAGTGGAGAGACATCAGGCCGGAGAAAAATAATCAATACTGTCAAAGATTATATCTGCCTGTCCTCAGGCTGGGCCCGTCCAGGCGCCAACCGAAACCAAAAAGAGGCATTCATCCATTTTAATTTGTTGCGTATTCAAAGTCTGTATTTTTCTCATATATTAGGTAATATGGTTTATACTAGAGTGTGTTGAATAGTCAGTCGAATGCTCTAAAGTCCCGTACTTTGCTGAAGGTCTTCTCACATACTTCCTATACGCCTTTATTTCCATCTTCGTTCTTGTTATGCCTCAACTCGTTTATGGCCTCCATGCCTGTTCCTCGACCTCTCTCTCTCTCAACCCAGCATTGTCTGATTCATCGTCGTCATCCGTCATGTAAATTTGTTAGTTATTCTGTGTTTGACTTTCTCTGCTCTTCTCTAGTGAACTGATTTGCCATGTCACAGATGTTCCTGATCTATATAGTTGCTTCGACATGTTATTACGGGTTGACAAACATCAAGATTGAAGTGGTTTTTGCCTAACCAGAAGAGTAAGAACTTGAGCAATCCCACCTAATTTACCAAGGCTGATGTTCCTTAGTCTCCTGGAGCATGAATATTGCCGAGTTTTTAATTTCAGTAAAGCATCGGAATTTTGAACGCTTTGGTTACTAGAGTTAAAACTGCGTTGAATTAAGTGTGATGACATTTAATGTTATTTAAACAATGAGAGTTTTACCTCTACTCCGTCTTATTCTCATCACAGAACACAACAGAGTAGAGGAGAAGTGTTGACGGGCCTTGGAGTGCGTTGCCAAGAGTTAAATGACAAATTTGGATGATTTTAGTAGTAGAAAACACTGATTAAATATTTAAAAGTACGAACTGTGAGTTATAGTTCGTACTTTTAAATATTTTATAGTTATATCATCACAGTCAATTATGTCTGTGAGACTGAGTCGAGTTGTCATTCCTCGACACCACTATAGTTTTTTATGACCATTAACCATCGCTTCACTATAACAGTTATATTTATTACTTACAATTTTTCACATTTCGAGCTAAACAGAAGATGCCATTTTCTGTTATTTTTTCCTGAATTTGTTCTATAAATATTATATTCAATTCGCTGAAGTTCAGCTTAGACATGTTTACTAAAATGCCCGAAAGCCTTACCGAGTCACCTTAAGACCAGGACTGTTGAGAAAGGGTCAAATAATATGTATATTTTACTTCTTTGTTCTGAATATAGTACATGGTTTGAAATATTGTTTTACATTGGTTGTGTCAAGTGTATATATTAAGCAGTTTGTTGTGATTTTGTATCGTTACAAATGCCAGAGTGCAATAACGACAACAAAATTACACGAAAAAAATCTAAAAATTTCGTATATTGTTCAGTATTACTAACATTTTAAGAATTAACATTGCTTTCTAGTCAGAGGAAGTAACAAATTAATTTTAAGCCGGTTTTACACAGGATTTAACTGAAATCCTCCCAAAAGTCTTTGAAAATATATAGATGGCCTTAATCTCCATGGCAACTGCTGCGTGATTAACATATTTCATAATATTAACATATTATTTTAACATATTTATGTTAGTTTACATAAATATATATTTTATTGAATATTCTTTTGTGATTTTGATCTTGACACAGCAATGCTCGCGTCCAGAGGGTTTGCTACGCTGGCTTTGGCCTACTTTAACTATGATGACTTGCCGAAGACTATAGATAATCTCGACCTGGAATACTTTGAAGAAGCAACAGAGTTCCTTCTGTCTCAGACCGAAGTCATCCCGGACCGTTGTGCCGTCCTCAGCTCCAGTAAAGGGGCAGACATTGGCCTAGCTTCGGGAATCTACCTGGATAAGGTCACGGCAGTCATTACCATCGGCGGCGTACTGACGGGCGCAAAGACCAACCTGACATACCAAGGCCAGCAGATCTTGAAAGCCGGCGACGATTGGAATTTCGACATTAATCTAAACGACGATGACATGGCTAGTTTGGAGAATACCTTTCGGGAACTATACCGGCACGACAGTCCGCAGATGCCTCCGTGTGAGGCTGCCCCCGAAGACACTTTCTTCTTGCTAGTGACTGGTGATGAAGACACTTGCTGCACCAAGTATGCGGCTGAGGCTCTCGTTAAGCGCATGAAGCTGCACGGACGAGAGGACAACTGCCGCATCATAGTCTACCCTGGAGTTGGCCATATTATCGAAACACCGTATAATGCCCACGGAAAATACAGCAATTTGAAAATAGCCAGCAAGAGTAATGGTGCTGCCGAAGGACGGAACACCATAATCAACTGGGGTGGGACTGCCAAAGGAACCTGCGTGGCGACTGAGGACTTTTGGCGCGAACTGCAGGTCTTTTTCGCCCACCACGTACGAGACCTGAGCCCCTGGTACCAGAAGCTCCTGGAGCAGAAGTAAAGGAGAGACTACATGGTTTAAATCCAGGGCATTGTGGAAAGGTTTCAAGCCACATTGTGTTTAGTATAAGTGGTGAATGTATTCTGTGTAGGAGGCGATTGTGTTCAGTGTAGGTGGTGGGTTTGTTTAGTGTAGGTAAATGTGTATTTAATGTATATGGGGTTGGGTATGAGTAGTAGAATCAGCAATGTAGACCATCTGTTTATGAGTTTTCGCTGGATGCAACTGGTTATAGATATTGTAGACTTTCCACAAAAATTAATGAGCTGGGGATAGACCTTCCATTTTTCGGATTTTAGGTGGATGGAACCGGATATATAGATGGAGAGGTTCCCGCAAAAAAATGAACAGACTGGGCACAGACCGTCCATGTTGGTGAAGACTTTAGATAATTCTTGAAGCGTTTAAGATTTTAACATAGCATTAGTTGTCTAAATCTCAGCTCTGTTCCAGGATAGGTTAGGATCGGGATGGTCGATCTCTTGATGGATTCAATGTAAGGGAAATAAAATTACTAAATTTCCTAAGAGTATAGTTTGACGTTAAACCTTGACCTAGTTATTATAGAAGATTCGGGTCGGCTAAGCTTGGTATGATATTTACTAATAAAGACTCGTAAAGCTACAAGACCCTGATGTGAGAAAACACACATCTAAATAAACCTTAATATTATAAAGGGTGTTGAATTTATTACGAATGTTAGAATATCTTTGCAAGCAAAAAATACCTATAAAATAAAAGCTAAAGCACTAGCTACATTTTTGTTTTATTTTAAGTGTATCGGCCTTCTGGAAGTGTATGTAAGACCCGTTCCCCGACCTTAACTTCAATGTTCCAGAGATTATTGCCTTCTGGAAGTGTATGTAAGACCCGTTCCCCGACCTTAACTTCAAGGTTCCAGAGATTATTGCCTTCTGGAAGTGTATGTAAGACCCGTTCCCCGACCTTACCTTCAAGGTTCCAGAGATTATTGCCTTCTGGAAGTGTATGTAAGACCCGTTCCCCGACCTTACCTTCAAGGTTCCAGAGATTATTGCCTTCTGGAAGTGTATGTAAGACCCGTTCCCCGACCTTAACTTCAAGGTTCCAGAGATTATTGCCTTCTGGAAGTGTATGTAAGACCCGTTCCCCGACCTTACCTTCAAGGTTCCAGAGATTATTGCCGTTTCTTGTGGAGCCAACCTGTATAGAATTAGTTTTTAAGATATATGATCAAAAATCACAACAACTAATTTAAAGTTGAGGGAAAACTTTATGATGTAGTGGATGATGAATATGAGGAAATGCTAGTCTTGGACGGCAAACTTCACCCTCGGCCAGTACTACTATTGACGCTCAAATGATTACTGATGAAACTGCTGCCGGTACTATTGAAACTTTTTGTTTTGAGATATATACAAGAGTTGTTACATTCTTGTACAGCCACTAGTACGCGTAGCGTTTCGGGCAGGTCCCTGGAATACGATCCCCGCCGCGAAGAATCGTTTTTACAACCAAGTACACATTTTACTGTTGTGTTAAACAGGCTACAGTTAAGGATTTTCGCCCAGTGCGCCCAAACTGCTAGAACTACTGTTGAAGCTGTTGCTGCTACTGTTCAAATGGCCGCTGCTGCTACTACTACCGCAATAGAAACACCCGATGCCACCCAAATGGATACAACATATTATGAAATAGGTCAGGTTGTGTTCTGTTAATTGGGGGGGAACCCTATTAGTTAACATGGACGGGGGGCATATACAAAGTATTGTTTCAATAGGGTACGAGCTAAACAAAGAAATGTAAATTCTATACTCGAGATTATTTACAATATTTTAAACTAACGAGTTAACTTGTGTTGTCATGGGAGATGACTCGCTTGAATAAGGATTGAGGCGATATTAAGTACGAGGGAGATGATTAATACAAAAATATATAATTTCGAGAGCATATAATGTGATGAAACTTAATAATGCAACTATGTTATTTTTTATTAAAAGTATGAGAATATCGATACGAATTGATTATCTGACTACTCATCTGTTTATTCTATTTAGAAATAATATTACAAGTTATATATTGAATACAAAGGTTAGTTGAATATACCAATGTAAAATGGGTGGCGTGATCAACAAAATAATGGCATATATTGGTTACGCAATTGAAAGGATTACTTTTAAGAGTAATCTTTTCTTTAAGAGTATATCTTTGAAGATATATACACTACCAAAACAGTGACTATGTCTTAGGTTAAGTTAGGAAGGTTATACATTCAGAGCCATCTAGTAGCAGACCCCCTAGTGTGTATGAAGGGTATGAGCTACGAGGAGGGTCTATGGGAACTAAACTTCACGTCTCTGGAAGACAGGTGAGTTAAGAGAGACATGATTACCACACACATGATTCTCAGAAGATAAGATAGGGGTAGATAAGGACAGTTTATTTAACGCAGGTGGTACACAAACAAGGGGGGTACACAAGTGGAAATTGCGTACCCAAATAAGCCATAGAAACATTGGAAAGAACTTTTATAGTGCCAGGGATAGTTAATAGATGGAATGCATTAGGCAGTGATGTGGTGGAGGCTGATTCCATACAGTTTCAAATGTAGATAGGATTGAGCTCAGTAGGCTCAGGAATCTGTACATCTGTTCATCAGTGTGTGTGTGTGTGTGTGTGTGTGTGTGTGTGTGTGTGTGTGTGTGTGTGTGTGTGTGTGTGTGTGTGTGTGTGTGTGTGTGTGTGCTTATACTTGCGATGTGTATTTCTTGAATTTTGTTCCGTATCGTCCTAATGGTACCAACAACGATCACAGTAACTGCGTGAGGAGTCTCTTATGGACAAAAAAAAAGAGACGTGTCCTATGGAAGGCCGTTTCCGTCAGGTGAGTCGATTATATTCCAGGTCCGCGTCTGAGGGGCGGCTGGCTGGAGGCCGGCGAAGAAGCCGATGTCTCCGTCGGCGAGCCTGGTGGTGAGGACGGAAGGTGCTGGGTTGGTAGCGAGGAGGTCGCAGCCCTCCTGCTTCACCAGGGTTATGTCCTGGCTGGTCTTGGGGACCTGGAAGTAGTCCAGCACGGCCGGCACCTCCTCCGCGGGGTTGGCGGGCATCTTCCTGCAAGAACACGATGGCGCCGTCACTTTAATGACGTCACACACACGCACACAGAGTTTTAGTGACGGGGCTAAATCTCGGGCCTTAAAAATATGTCGGGCAAGTTAACTCACCTGGCCAGGATGGTGATGGCAGGCACGGGAACCAGAAAGATCGGGTTACACTGCACCAGCAGGAGCTTGTCGTCCAGCACCCCAACCTTCACCGGCCCGCCCGTCAGCAACCCTGGCGGTACATCGCACATTGTAAACAACACCAAGAAGTGCACACGACCATGTGCTGTAGTTGCCCCTAACCCATCAACAACAACATTTCAAGACCTTCACTGATTGAATCATCTCATGTAGAGAGTTACTGATGTTTGGACGTATGTCATATTCGTTTAATAAAGTCTCAACAAAGGCATTGATAGTAAAGAGAAGAATAAGTATAATGAAATAACTAGGTATGACTCTATGTTGCCTTTTTCTTATAATGACTGAGGAATGAGAAATTATGACTAAACATGATCCACTATTCCAAGATTATCAACAGATAATCTATTACTGAGGGCCCCCTGGTGCTGGTGGGCCCTCGGGTGCTGGAGGGCCCCCCTGGTGCTGGTGGGGCCCCCCCTGGAGCTCGTGTAAGTCTAACATAGAAATGCCGTTAGCAGCCTGAGGGTTAAGAAAGGAAACCTGCCATTATAAAGTGTATGAGTATGTGTTTTGGGTTCCCTTACTGGGCGCAATTTTGAAAAAAAAAAGTGATTTCCTTAAAACATATTGAAGACCTAGAGTCAACCGCATCAGCAAGAGGGTCATAGTTAGGGTATAGAACACAACTGATGATCAAACCAATCATAGACGTACAGGGGCTGTGTGACACAGAAAATACATGCGTCATATTAATTGCCTTTGATTCTCAGGACGAATTCAAATCGATTTACTGATCATAGTAATTAATATGTATATATATATATATATATATATATATATATATATATATATATATATATATATATGACAATGTCAGACCACGAAGGAAAAATGAAACAGGAAATTTCCTTAAGTACTTTCGTATATTAAATACATCTTCAGAAGGTAAGGTTTTAATATACGAAAGTACTTAAGGAAATTTCCTGTTTCATTTTTCCTTCGTGGTCTGACATTGTCACATTCTTAATCACGTGTTTATTTTCGTGATATACACATATATATATATATATATATATATATATATATATATATATATATATATATATATATATATATATATATTGAATCTGCGTATTAGCGTATTTATATCATACGGTAAAATAAGGAGAAATACAGCCTACCTACAATTACAGTTTCTGGAATACATTTATATCAGGTCAATAACTAACTCATCTGAAATAATGTTGATCATGTGGGAGACAGATGTGGACGCTACAGTAGGGATACAGATGAGACAGGTACGATAAGGGCACAGATGATACAGGTACAGTAAAGGAAAAGATGAGACAGGGGTACAGTAAGGAGTACAGGATACAAACGCGAGTTCATCAGCTCACCGTCAAGGCCATACTGGGTGACAGAGAGTTGCCCGTCCCGGACAGTGACAGTACTAGTGACGTTGTAGTCCCAGACCTGCGCCATGACGCCAGTCTGCCGCCACCACTCCTCCACACGTACAGACTGCACCAGGTAGTCCAGTTGTATTATTATTATGAAATGATTATTATGTAATAAACCTATTACAGGGGGACATGGTCAAGTCGAACACAAGATGATTTGACAAAGCTTATTTTTTCTCTTTGATAAAACTGTGCATATAATTAGGTTAGGATATATTTGTTTAGGTTGAGTTAGGTTAGGTTTGGTTAGGCTGGGTTGGGTTAGGTTAGGTTAGGCTGGGTTGGGTTAGGTTAGGTTGAGTTAGGTTAGGTTAGGTTAGGCTGGGTTGGGTTAGGTTAGGTTGAGTTAGGTTAGGTTAGGTTAGGCTGGGTTGGGTTGGGTTAGGTTGGGTTAGGTTAGGTTGGATTAGGTTAGGTTGGGTTAGGTTAGGTTGGGTTGGGTTAGGTTAGGTTAGGTTAGGTTAGGATTTTTTTTATTTTTTAGTCGCATAAGAGATTCAATAATAATTGTTAGAATATTCTTATTTTAAAGAGAGTCTTTCTGCAAAATTGAAAGATAATATTATTAAATTTTAAAAGACCAGATTTAATGAAAATAAGTTATGTTTGTCATGACCTTGAATGGAAATCAGTTTGAGAACTTTTGTTGATCAAGTACGCTGTTATTGTCAGATCATCAGATCAATATAAATCAACATCGGTAGAGTATGGAGAAGTTTGATTCATTTTTTAATCAAACTGAATATTTAGACACATACTCAAATATTAAATTCACCACATTTTTCAAACCTCTTCATTCACTAATAATATCAAGTGTGCAGCCAGTTACATTTTTTTTATATTGCCTATCATAAAGCCAATGTTTTTCTGCATTATTTCAACTAATGCTACTACAATTCTATTACAACTACCACCATGCCATTAGAATTAGATTACAACTACCACCATGCCATTAGAATTATATTACAACTACCGCCATGCCATTAGAATTATATTACAACTACCACCATGCCATTAGAATTATATTACAACTACCACCATGCCACTACAATTATATTACAACTACCACTATGCTACCACAATTATATTACAACTTCCACCATGCCACTACAATTATATTACAATTACCACAAGATTACTTCAATTATATTACACCAACCACTAGCACCACTACTCACAATATACAGAACCACTCCCCAATGACAAAGAGTCAACACCTTCACCATTACCGCCGGAGGTGGCCATATGGCACCACAGACGAGGCTGCACCACAGGAGGATGAATATACTCACAGTATCTGTCTGAAGGAACCCCTGGAGGCTGTGGCAGGGCATGAGTCTCCTGGTGCTGGCCATAGTCACCCACCGCCCCCCCAGCTGCCGGAAGGGACACCACCGTTACTCACTCACTCACCACAATGTATCAATTATACAATGGGATGGGATGTAACTATGTAACCTGATTGCATACAGAAATCACAGTAGCGTGATACATCAAATGAACAAATGAACAAGGGCATGATTATTGATAAAGTGCTACCATGTCGTAGCTCAGTCGATTAAGGCAGCGTCTGGGATTCTCTAGGACGTAGGTTCGAACCCTCGTCGCGGCCCTTGTGGATTTGTTCATTTATATAACCTGAGCTTGTAAAAGCATCTTAATCACCTTCAGTGGTTAAGTGCTTAATAACACATTAGTTTCTCTATCAGCTGTCTCACCCTGTCAGAGTAGGAGAGACAAATGTATGTGTGTGTGTGTGTGTGTGTGTGTGTGTGTGTGTGTGTGTGTGTGTGTGTGTGTGTGTGTGTGTGTGTGTGTGTGTGTGTGTGTGTGTGTATATGTTTCATTGAATATGACTGCATATTCTGTATTGATTATTTTTTTGTAGAAGGCTTCTATCCATCTGACTAGTGTTCTAGCATCTTGGTTCATTTGGAGAACGTCTCTTCCAATTAAACAAAGATGCTGGGACACTAGTCAGAGGGATAAAAGCCCTAAACAAGAAAATAATCAGTGCAGAATATTCAGTCATATTCAAAGAAACATGTATAAATGAAAACCTGCTGCCAGTATACACCAATATGTATATGTATGTGTGCATAATAAAATATTTTTTCTTGTGAGGGTACCACCTCTGGTGCCAATGTGGGGACCCATAGCCTCGGAGAAAAAAATAAAAAGTATTCAGAGAAAAACCTTGTGGTTTCTCACAAGAGCCTATAATGCTAGCAGCATAATGATGACGATGATGTCACGAGAGCAGCTGTGTGGTTAGTCAATGCTGAGCAAAAACACAGCATTTCCAATGTTTGAAGTCAGGATGCCAGGCATGATTGATATATTGCAAGGCTACTGACGGAAGACCCACATCTACTATATTGGGACCTATGCCTACCACAACTGGAGCCCACACCTGGACCCCACACCTGGACCCCCCATACCTGGACCCCACACCTCCCCCCCCCCCCCACCAGCCAGCTAACGGGGTCATATATTTTTGTATGTACTTGTTTTTCTTTACAAACTGCCCAGTCATTCTTCATTTGTCGAAGCCCTTGTGTGTGTGTGTGTGTGTGTGTGTGTGTGTGTGTGTGTGTGTGTGTGTGTGTGTGTGTGTGTGTGTGTGTGTGTGTGTGTGTGTGTGTGTGTGTGTGTGTGTGTGTGTGTGTGTGTGTGTGTGTGTGTGTGTGTGTGTGTGTGTGTGTGTGTGTGTGTGTGTGTGTGTGTGTGTGTGTGTGTGTGTGTGTGTGTGTGTACTCACCTAGGTGTGCTTTGTAGGGTCGAACTAGGCTCCTATCCCCCGCCTTCCGAAAGTTCATAAATTAATGCAATGACTCATTTCTCACGCTTTTATCATATTTCCATTTAACAATTGTAATCAAATTAGCTACAACTTCTATGCCTATTCTATCCCACTTATTGACAGCTTTAACACTGAAAAAGTTCTTCTGCGTCTCTGTCTCTAGCGTTCATCTATGACGCCCTGTTCCGCTGTTCTTAGCTTTGAACAATGCTGCTTTATCTACTTCGTCGATTTCCTTTCAAACCTTATATGTTATTGTGGGTGTGTGGGTGTGTAAATGAGACCTACAACATCAATTATGTCTTCAACACCGCGTATACATCGTTCCCCTCACCCTTTCCTCATTCCACGAACCCCCACACCCCGCCCACACCGCCCACACACCGCCCACACCGCCCACCATACTCACTGCCGAAGGATTGTTTGTGCTGGGGATGTTGAAGTACTGGCTGCAGACAGCCTCGGAGAGCTGCAGGTGGAGGAGCGTCATCCACGCCCCCGCCCACACCGCCCTCACACGCCCACACATCGCCTGCCTTGCCCACGCCAACATCCTGTTGAAAAACGATCAATTTTATTAAGAGAGTTGATGGAGGGGAGAGGATGGTGGACGGGGAAGACATGCCATGGGACGGGTGACGGGTTAGACATGCCATGGGATTCGAAAGACATGCCATGGGATTCGAAAGACATGTCATGCACGAGAGCACAGAGAAAGCGTGACAAGAGATGCATGGCAGGGTAGACATGACAGTGGACAGGGGGACAGTGTATATATACCCAGGTAAGACACAGGCAAGATTGACAGGAGATACAGAACAGGGCACAGGAGACGGTGGACAGGAACGAAGGAAATGAAATAGCAGACAGAAGATAACGGGGAAGAGACGGCCTACAAATGACTGTATAGTGACCCAGAATTACACAGAGGCCACAGACGGGATACACTACAGTCACCATCACCTCACACTGTACCTCTACACTAGTCACCATCACCTCACACTGTACCTCTACACTAGTCACCATCACCTCACACTGTACCTCTACACTAGTCACCATCACCTCACACTGTACCTCTACACTAGTCACCATCACCTCACACTGTACCTCTACACTAGTCACCATCACCTCACACTGTACCTCTACACTAGTCACCATCACCTCACACTGTACCTCTACACTAGTCACCATCACCTCACACTGTACCTCTACACTAGTCACCATCACCTCACACTGTACCTCTACACTAGTCACCATCACCTCACACTGTAACACACTCAGGTCTCTCCAGTGGCTACAGCAGGCCAGGGACGGCCTCGCTCCCGGGCGCTGTGATACAGAGGGGCGACTCCACTGCCGTAAGCCAAGGTGAAGTTGGGTTTCCGTCGTCAGAAACAGCATTCATCAGGCCTTTACGCAACCACTTGCGAAACCTATGCATCTTTCCTCATCACGGCGGATTTCTTTATATTTATTAAAATGTTTTTGAGCTACACAAGTAATGACTGCTATCTCCACAAGTAATGACTGCTATCTCCACAAGTAATGACTGCTATCTATGACTGCTATCTCCACAAGTAATGACTGCTATCTCCACAAGTAATGACTGCTATCTCCACAAGTAATGACTGCTATCTACACAAGTAATGACTGCTATCTACACAAGTAATGACTGCTATCTACACAAGTAATGACTGCTATCTACACAAGTAATGACTGCTATCTATGACTGCTATCTCCACAAGTAATGACTGCTATCTCCACAAGTAATGACTGCTATCTCCACAAGTAATGACTGCTATCTACACAAGTAATGACTGCTATCTACACAAGTAATGACTGCTATCTACACAAGTAATGACTGCTATCTACACAAGTAATGACTGCTATCTATGACTGCTATCTCCACAAGTAATGACTGCTATCTACACAAGTAATGACTGCTATCTCCACAAGTAATGACTGCTATCTATGACTGCTATCTCCACAAGTAATGACTGCTATCTCCACAAGTAATGACTGCTATCTCCACAAGTAATGACTGCTATCTACACAAGTAATGACTGCTATCTCCACAAGTAATGACTGCTATCTATGACTGCTATCTCCACAAGTAATGACTGCTATCTCCACAAGTAATGACTGCTATCTCCACAAGTAATGACTGCTATCTCCACAAGTAATGACTGCTATCTCCACAAGTAATGACTGCTATCTATGACTGCTATCTCCACAAGTAATGACTGCTATCTACACAAGTAATGACTGCTATCTCCACAAGTAATGACTGCTATCTACACAAGTAATGACTGCTATCTCCACAAGTAATGACTGCTATCTACACAAGTAATGACTGCTATCTCCACAAGTAATGACTGCTATCTACACAAGTAATGACTGCTATCTCCACAAGTAATGACTGCTATCTCCACAAGTAATGACTGCTATCTCCACAAGTAATGACTGCTATCTCCACAAGTAATGACTGCTATCTACACAAGTAATGACTGCTATCTACACAAGTAATGACTGCTATCTCCACAAGTAATGACTGCTATCTACACAAGTAATGACTGCTATCTACACAAGTAATGACTGCTATCTCCACAAGTAATGACTGCTATCTACACAAGTAATGACTGCTATCTCCACAAGTAATGACTGCTATCTACACAAGTAATGACTGCTATCTACACAAGTAATGACTGCTATCTACACAAGTAATGACTGCTATCTACACAAGTAATGACTGCTATCTATACAAGTAATAACTGCTATCTACACAAGTAATGACTGCTATCTACACAAGTAATGACTGCTATCTACACAAGTAATGACTGCTATCTATGACTGCTATCTACACAAGTAATGACTGCTATCTACACAAGTAATGACTGCTATCTATGACTGCTATCTACACAAGTAATGACTGCTATCTACACAAGTAATGACTGCTATCTATGACTGCTATCTACACAAGTAATGACTGCAATCTACGCAAGTAATGACTGTTATCTACATAATAATGACTGCTATTTTCACAAGTAATGACTGTTATCTATGACTGCTATCTACACATAGCAAGAACTGGTACTGAGAGGAAGTAAAAGTGTACAAAGGAACGTATGACTGGCATTTTAATGGTGTCACAACAGTCAAGGTAAACTGTATACCTCATTAACAGAACACCCGAGGCTCTGTGTACTCTACTTTAATTGCTGTTGGCACTAGTCTCCGTCAGGCCTCTGATTGGTACTGGCACTTGGTTCCTGTGATGCCTCTGATTGGTACTGGCACTTGGTCCCTGTGGTGCCTCTGATTGGTACTGGCACTTGGATCTTGTGGTGCCTCTGATTGGTACTGGCACTTGGTCCCTGTGGTGCCTCTGATTGGTACTGGCACTTGGATCTTGTGGTGCCTCTGATTGGTACTGGCACTTGGTTCCTGTGATGCCTCTGATTGGTACTGGCACTTGGATCTTGTGGTGCCTCTGATTGGTACTGGCACTTGGTTCCTGTGATGCCTCTGATTGGTACTGGCACTTGGTTCCTGTGATGCCTCTGATTGGTACTGGCACTTGGTTCCTGTGACGCCTCTGATTGGTACTGGCACTTGGTTCCTGTGATGCCTCTGATTGGTACTGGCACTTGGTTCCTGTGGTGCCTCTGATTGGTACTGGCACTTGGTTCCTGTGATGCCTCTGATTGGTACTGGCACTTGGATCTTGTGGTGCCTCTGATTGGTACTGGCACTTGGTTCCTGTGATGCCTCTGATTGGTACTGGCACTAGTCTCCGTCATGCCTCTGATTGGTACTGGCACTAGTTCTCTGTGGTGCCTCTGATTGGTACTGGCACTTGGTTCCTGTGGAGCCTCTGATTGGTACTGGCACCAGTTCCCTGTGGTGCCTCTGATTGGTACTGGCACAAGTTCCCTGTGGTGCCTCTGATTGGTACTGGCACCAGTTCCCGTGATGCCTCTGATTGGTACTGGCACTAGTTCCCTATGGTGCCACTGATTGGTACTGGCACTAGTTCCCTATGGTGCCACTGATTGGTACTGGCACCAGTTCCCGTGATGCCTCTGATTGGTACTGGCACCAGTTCCCGGTGATGCCTCTGATTGGTAGTGGCACCAGTTCCCATGATGCCTGTGCGTGCGGAAGACATTATAAGAGATTACGTGGCACTCTCAAGTATGTCCTGAGGCAGTGCAGGAAACATTGTTCCCCCAGTCTACCCAGGTGAACCATGACATGCACTTTACACCATCCTGTGAGAACGAAACAAGTATTCAGGGTTTACCTACTTGCTTGCGGCACTGCCAACAAAAACAGGTTAGTCCCTCACGGAGCGAATATCCGGTTTTTGTGACGCTTTATCCGAAGGATGCGAGAGTTGCTGGAGGCTGGACCAGAGGATGTGTTGTCATGAGCGGATGGCCTTGGATGCTGGGACTTCTCTCGACCTGTTACAGGAAGGGATGGGAAGGAGGAGGAGGAGGAAGGGAGAGGAATGTGCATTGTTGCATGTTGGGTGTTTAATTTGTGGTTGTTGCTAGTAGGATTAACTTGGTTAATACTTGTTGCAGACTTGTTGATGTGATTTATTCATGTTGCTCTTATTTCTTGTAACATTTTTTGCTCGCGGCTGAGAGGACAGCGTTCGGGAGTCGTTATATATATATATATATATATATATATATATATATATATATATATATATATATATATATATATATATATATATATATATATATATATAATATTTCTTACATTCTTGTAATTGAATGAACCGTTTATATTCATTCTAGAGTATAAGGCTCAACACTAAGTTGCATAATATAAATGGAGCCCAAGAAGGACAATTATTATTATCAGGGGAAAAGTGCCAAGCCATTACGACTATATAGAAGGACAAGATACAGCTGATACATAATACAATTTGTCTTCTTACTAACGCTTCTTGTTATGAGTCCTAGCATCTTAATGGTCATATTTTACCCATTCATTGGCTTCTTGACTTACGATTTCTACTAATCATGGCACTCAAATTTGCTAATTTCAGCATTGTCCAGCTGATATTTTTGTGATTTCTCGATTATATTCTAAGCTTAGAACCCTACAAGTATCAGCATTAAACTGCAGTTGCTAATCTAGCGCCCACTTTCAAAAACTAAGTCATGATGTAGCAAAACTCTGCATACTTCTGAATTAATTCCCTGTAAAATTTTTAATTCGTCTATAAATTGCAATTGTTGCTGCTTGTTCCCTGTATCTAAAGTGTTTTTATATATATGGGAAACAATAAAAGCACAAGGACAGAGTCCTGAGGCTCTGTCCTTGGGCTTTTAATGACAACAGTTTCCTCCTGGGAACTAAAATTGACAAGTTTTCCACTGGCACTAAAATTCATGTATAACTAACCCTCTGTTTCCTTTTATATAGCCATGCCCTAATCCAACTTCAGGTGACTAGTCGAATGGTAAACATCTCATTATCTCTCCCTACTTTCTCCCTATGTCTACCTATATCTCACTATCTCTACCTTCTCCCTATCTCTATCTATCTCTCATTATCTCTACCAATCGCACTATCAATAGCTTCAAGAAATCGGTACCAGAATGAGAGCAAACTTGTCAATCTCGAGAGCACCTTCATAAATCATTGATTAATCAATATTTTTTTAAGTATTCATACTAATATCTTTTGTGATTATTGCTGCAAGCAATTTTCCAACAATAGACGTTAAGATAATAACCGATAGTTTGACACAAGGGATCTTTTGTTTTGTTTAATCACCACCACATTCCCAACCCTACATGATTCCGCTGCTCGACTCATATAATTTATTAAATATGCAATTAAGACACTAAGATCAGCTTTTTTACAGTTCTTGAAGGACTCTGGCAAGTATTTCGTCTGGTCGTAGGGACTTAAAAGAGCTTTAGTTTTTCAATTTATTTAACACATTTCTCCCTGAAGACTACTCAAATAGTCAGTCTGTTTTCTTCACGACCTGTGAAGATTTGTTCAGCTGCTTGTAAAATATAAAATTCTCCACTAGCACAGAGACAAAGAACAAGAAAACGCCACCCATTTCTTTGTCATTAACTTTGTCATTAAACTTTGTCATTGTAGGGAGCCGGTCGGCCGAGCGGAAAGCACGCTGGACTTGTGATCCTGCGGTCCCGGATTCGATCCCGAGCGCCGGCGAGAAACAATGGGCAGAGTTTCTTTCACCCTATGCCCCTGTTATCTTGCAGTAAAATAGGTACCTGGGTGTTAGTCAGCTGTCACGGGCTGCTTCCTAGGGGGTGGAGGCCTGGTCGAGGACCGGGCCGCGGGGACACTGAAGCCCCCGAAATCATCTCAAGATAACCTCAAGATAACCCCTCACTTAACCTGTCTCGCTTTTCTGTGGCTCAGTTTTCTCCCTAAACTTTGTTCGTTATATATGAAATAACCTTTAAGGATTTGTCTTCGTCTATTGTGATATACGTCACTCCAGCCGCCAGCCTCCCCGCTGCACCTTGGCGTCCGGGCGCACGGTGGTGGTGAAAGTGACTGAGATAATAGGTTTTTATGGGGGAATAAACTAAGTTATTATCTGTTGCACACTGAGTCACGAACCCATTGGGAAGGAAGCTGGTGATGGAAGAGTTCACCCATAGTTCACACAGAGTCACCCAGAGTTCACCCAGAGTCACCCAGAGTTCACCCAGAGTTCACCCAGAGTTCACCCAGAGTCACCCAGAGTTCACCCAGTCACCCAGAGTCACACAGAGTTACCCAGAGTTCACACAGCGTTCACTCAGAGTTCACACAGCGTTCACCCAGAGTTCACACAGCGTTCACCCAGAGTTCACCCAGAGTTCACCCATAGTTCACCCAGGATTCACCCAGAATTCACCCAGAGTTCATCCAGAGTTCACCCAGAGTTCACCCATAGTTCACCCAGAGTTCACCCAGGATTCACCCAGGGTTCACCCAGAATCACCCAGAGTTCACCCAGAGTCACCCAGAGTTCACACAGAGTTCACCCAGAGTTCACCCAGAGTCACCCAGAGTCACCCAGAAATGAATTAGTGCTACAGATTCATCCAGACACAAAGATCAAGAAACGAGATCAAAATCAAATAGTTTATGATTTAACAAGAAATGTTGAGATGAGAAACTAAATCCCAATTGACTAGAAAGAAAATGCAGTAAAGACCTTAGTCAGTTAGACCATCGGAGCCCAGGACATACAGCTCGACCAACATAACTCTGATAGGCAAGCCACTACCTGTACTAAATAACTACACACACACACTATCCACAGTCATGTAATGTACATGGACATATATATATGTACCTACACGTGGGAGTGAATACATATAAATAGGTACATTACATCCACAATTCCAAAGATAGAGAAGTCGGTACACGCACTTGGAGACACGAGGCAGCCGAGAGACTCCGGCAGCGGTCAGACCCACACTGAAGATCTCTGTGCTTCCTGCAACACTAACACCCTGACTGACTGGGCTCCTCCCCCGCCACCACGACCTCTAGCGCCCTCAGCTAGGCTCCTCCCCCGCCACCACGACCTCTAGCGCCCTCAGCTAGGCTCCTCCCCCGCCACCACGACCTCTAGCGCCCTCAGCTAGGCTCCTCCCCCGCCGCCACGACCTCCAGCGCCCCCAGCTAGGTTCCTTCCCCGGCACCACGACCTCTAGCGCCCTCAGCTAGGCTCCTCCCCCGCCACCACGACCTCTAGCGCCCTCAGCTAGGCTCCTCTCCCGCCACCACGACCTCTAGCGCCCTCAGCTAGGCTCCTCCCCCGCCACCACGACCTCTAGCGCCCTCAACTAGGCTCCTCCCCCGCCACCACGACCTCTAGCGCCCTCAGCTAGGCTCCTCCCCCGCCACCACGACCTCTAGCGCCCTCAGTTAGGCTCCTCTCCCGCCACCACGACCTCTAGCAGCCTCAGCTTGGCTCCTCCCCCGCCTACACGACCTCTAGCGCCCTCAGCTAGGCTCCTCTCCCGCCACCACGACCTCTAGCGCCCTCAGCTAGGCTCCTCCCCCGCCACCACGACCTCTAGCGCCCTCAGCTAGGCTCCTCCCCCGCCACCACGACCTCTAGCGCCCTCAGCTAGGCTCCTCCCCCGCCACCACGACCTCTAGCGCCCTCAGCTAGGCTCCTCCCCCGCCACCACGACCTCTAGCGCCCTCAGCTAGGCTCCTCCCCCGCCACCACGACCTCTAGCGCCCTCAGCTAGGCTCCTCTCCCGCCACCACGACCTCTAGCGCCCTCAGCTAGGCTCCTCCCCCGCCACCACGACCTCTAGCGCCCTCAGCTAGGCTCCTCCCCCGCCACCACGACCTCTAGCGCCCTCAGCTAGGCTCCTCCCCCGCCACCACGACCTCTAGCGCCCTCAGCTAGGCTCTTCCCCCGCCACCACGACCTCTAGCGCCCTCAGCTAGGCTCCTCCCCCGCCACCACGACCTCTAGCGCCCTCAGCTAGGCTCCTCTCCCGCCACCACGACCTCTAGCGCCCTCAGCTAGGCTCCTCCCCCGCCACCACGACCTCTAGCGCCCTCAGCTAGGCTCCTCCCCCGCCACCACGACCTCTAGCGCCCTCAGCTAGGCTCCTCCCCCGCCACCACGACCTCTAGCGCCCTCAGCTAGGCTCCTCCCCCGCCACCACGACCTCTAGCGCCCTCAGTTAGGCTCCTCCCCCGCCACCACGACCTCTAGCGCCCTCAGCTAGGCTCCTCCCCCGCCACCACGACCTCTAGCGCCCTCAGTTAGGCTCCTCCCCCGCCACCACGACCTCTAGCGCCCTCAGCTAGGCTCCTCCCCCGCCACCACGACCTCTAGCGCCCTCAGCTTGTCTCCTTCCTTCAACACATACACAGCTGACCTGCCCTTCCCCAGCATGGAGTATACATCACATATACAGACAACGAACCTCAAATAATCGGCCACCTAGGACAATCAAAGACGTCACTTCTCATCACAACTAAGGCTGCAACAAAACTCATAAACAACTTTAAAGGGCAATAAAAAATAAGCCTCACCAATAAAAAGTTCCAAATAACACACATTGCATAACGAAGTAAGAGTCAATTATCCTTGACAACCACCCAGTCCGAGATACGAATTTAGGCAGCATACTGGAACTCGAGATTAATAGAATAGGAATCAAAATCCACTTAAATGACAATAAACAATAGCAAAAGCATCCTTTAACTGAGAAGATTCCGTAACCTGGGCATTTACATTTACACAAGGCACTGATATGGCCGCTACTCGAGTACTCTCCTGACCCCGTCGAGGCCACTAGAATCTAAGTAGATAGTAGCCCCTCAGGTAAATTACTAAGCTTCCTTTTACCAGCTTTCTGGGAAAGGTAAGTAAGCTTAGCTAAGCTACCAAGCACCCACATACATCGTGTCAGCAAGGTGGATGGCCCGCCTGCCATCATTATTCACATCATTCTCCACACTTTTACAACATTCCCAGCTCCTGTACCGCTTCAACGTCTTTACCCCCACGTCATGATGTGTGTGAAGTAGATGTCATAGATTTCAACAACATTCACAAACATGGATAGTTAAGTACAGCCGAGCACAACCAAAGACAACCATGCATGTACAAATGTACAAATATGCAGACATGGCACATACACACACACCATCTAGAGCCAAAGCTCATACACATATACACAAACCAAAGAGCCAAAGCTCAACCCCCGCAAGCACAACTAGATGAGTACAAACACACACACAAAACTACTACATATAGTCATACAGTATAAGAAGGCACACAAATGTGAATGACCAAGTGACTAGATTATACAAAAGTGGAGGTGAACGTGCAGGGAATGATAGGAAAATTTGTGAGGAAATAAATGCCAGTTTCCATGGAATGATCATGACTGAGCAGGAAGAGCTCCCAGTGCTCGGAGGTAGCCCTAGAGGGGAAGACTGCCAAATATTGAGGTGACAGCAGACGAAGGAAGAAAATAACTAGCAGCACTAGGTAAAATTAAATGTATTGAAGCAGACAACGTATCACCATTGATGTTAAAAGAAGCTGCACAGGCCCTTTAGCGTATCTATAGCACTGGCTATTAATGATGCAATTACGAATGGAGAATTACCCCGATGCCGGGAAATCGTAATACCAGTTTACAAGAAAGAAGATAGAGAAGAGGCACTTAACTACAGACCAGTAACACTGACAATCATTCCCTGAGCCAGAGTTACATTGAGGGGCGAGAGGTTGAATTGCCTTAAGGTAACAATTAGCTGAGAACCTCAAGGATCGGGGCTGGGACCCCGTGCCCCATAAGGTGGTGGAGAACAAGAATGTCCTCCGAGGCAGAGTCACCTCACTTCCTCACGTGAGTCTGATCAGATATCAGAAGCTAGAAATTGACAATTGTTGTAATAGACTACGGAAGTCGATTAAGACACGGCACCAGGAGCTGAAGCCCAGTCTCCATAAATACAGGAAATGGGGGATAAACGTATACACTTGTAAATGTGTGTGTGTGGGTGTGAGAGGTGTTTTTTGTAGTGGGGTTTTAAGTTATGGGTGTGTGTGGGAGTCAGGTTTTGTGTGCTACAGTGTAAGGTGGTTTGTGTGGGAGTGGGGGAAGATGTATGTGTGGAATGGCGTGCGTTGTATGATTATTTTTGGAGTGAGAGGTATTTTAGTGGAAATAAAATCACTTTGATCGGGAGTCAGAAATATTGAAGAGGAGAGCCTGTGGTTGTAAGAGGTTTTTGTGCGGTTGCAAGAATTTTTTGTGTGGGTTGTAAGCGGTTTTGAGTGGGATTAGGAGACATTGTTGTAGTAACAAGTTTTGCTAAGAAATGTTTGTATGTCTCGTTCTTCCACCCCCCCCCCCCCCCACCCCACCCCACTCGCTTCATGCAGGTTAGCGTTCAATCCCCGACCGTCCAAGTGGTTGGGCACCATTCCTTTCCCACCATCCCATCCCAAATCCTTGTCCTGACCCCTTCCAAGTGCTATATAGTCGTAATGGCTTGGTGCTTTACTCCTCATAATTCCTTCCCTCCCTCCCTCCTATCTGTCGCTTTGACACTACTAACGTTATCTTCTTCCAGCTAAAGGTACAACTACCAATGTGTGAGAAATATTAGGAAATTAATATATCTGGAAACATATTATAAAACAAGAGGAAATGCAAAACCTCTCAAGAGGTTCTTCGGCATCCGGATTCCATCTTCCAGCCCCTGAAGCAGCCTGCTAATTCTGAGGTCTTGTTGCTGGGTCCAAAGCTGCTGCTTCTTTTTTTTTTGTCGTGGCCTTGGAAAGCGCTCAAAGAAACACGTAAGCGCCTTACGTGGAAATGCCAGCTCAGTTATGATGTCGCCAAGACCCCTCTATAAAAACCCTAGTGCCCGAGGTCGTTCCTGACTGCATGCGACTTCGTAGTCTGTCAAGACGACACGCCGTTTTGCACGGTATCTTTACATTCAAGTTTGTGCTCATTTTTGTGAATACAGTGTATATATATATATGCAGTACCGTTCATTGTATATGTGTGTGTATTTAATACAGTGACCGCCCTCGCGTTATAATCGAAAGTATTAGCATTTATAATATGGTGATGTTAGTATAGTTTTGGTCATGGTATAATCTGTAGCTAAATGGTCAGCAGCGCTGTCGGGTCAAACCCGCATATTCCCGGGTTCGATTCCCGGGCAGAACACGCCATTCGAGCACGTTTCCTTACATGTGATGCCTCTATTTAGCAAGCAGTATATAACAGCCTTCCAGCCTCCCGACAGTGGGGAAACATATTAAGGAAATACCTTTTTTACGTAATGAAACTTAACATATATGGTCAGATATGTATGTTATATGTATGCTACGTATATCATATTACTTGGTTAGGGTTTAAATATGTGTATAGTGTATCATAAATATGTGTAATGTTTTCAGAACGCACCGGGTATATAACGGACCAGTCGGACAGTTAGGAGATGCATAGTCGGACAGTTAGGAGGCGCATAGTCGGACAGTTAGGAGGCGCATAGTCGGACAGTTAGGAGGCGCATAGTCGGACAGTTAGGAGGCGCATAGTCGGACAGTTAGGAGGCGCATAGTCGGACAGTTAGGAGGCGCATAGTCGGACAAGCTGCTCTGTTTGCTCTGATCAGTTTTTTTCTAATCAAACTAAATAAAAATTAAGTTGTGCATTATATATATATATATATATATATATATATATATATATATATATATATATATATATATATATATATATATATATATATATATATATATATATTCTTTTTCTTTTTCTTTTTTGCACAAATGAGTAAAGATAGAGATTACTTCTGACTCCTGTTAGCCGGCCGAGAACTCTTATCCCTTCCCATAGCTCATGGTAAGCCTTACTCGTCTGGTCTTCCCTGGAACACGACCCGCAGATCACTATACAACCTGGTCCTCAATTCCTGCTGAGTGACCAGGTAACAATTAAAGATCGTTGCCCTCTCGATCCTT